AGGAAAAATGTTTATCTTCTTCCCTTAATATATTGCACCGTTTTCTGACGCCAATCCAACCGAATGGTGCATGCAAGGGCGAGCAGAGTCAGATAACAAAAGAATAATTGATTATGAATGGAGCAAGAAACACAATAGCATGCTATTCCCACGTGTCACCACTTTAGGGCCCTAAAATGTACATAGTTGGCCACGTGTCAAGAACTAGAAAACGTGTCATGTTGTGGTGACGACAAGAAGATTTGGTCTGCCTGTGAGAACTGAGAACTCAATGTACGTGGCAATTCAGGGCTCTGGTTGTCTCAGTTGTTCCGAGAATCAAAGCTTATTTAGTGCACACCATGTGCAAGTCCTAAAATTCTAAACTACATGCTTGGCTTTTGCAACTTTTGTTCATCGTAGTAATAGAAAGATCTTTCATTCAGTTGGATAAGCACCGAGATGAAGGTTTGTTCTTGTCTTCAGTGATTGACATTTACCTCAAAAGGGGTTCTTTCTTTTCCATGTTGTCAACTTGCTAATAAGATCAAGTAGTTTTGTCTTAAAAGTTCGTAGTTTTGTTTGTGGTAAAGTTCTGTGTTGGTTTAACTAGCTAAGGTGCTTTTGGAAATTTTGAAGGTCCAAGAAACGAGGTCGCATGTTCATGCACCTGGGGAAGAAGAGAAGGTGATGACAAGGAAGCAGAAGGCAGAGTCCAAGGCACATGAAGTGGAGCATTCTCCGAAGAAGGCCAAGGTGGAAAACGAAGATGGTCACATCAACGGAAAATCTGCAACTGATGTTACAGAAGAATATAATGAGTTTTGCAAAGCCACAAACGAGCACCTGCCTTTGGAACAAATGAAAGAGATTCTGGAGGCTAATGGCCTTGATTCTTCTGGCTCTGATCTTGAAATTACACGAAGATGGTTGGTTTTGGTTTAGATTAGGCCATTTCTTGAAAGTGGATTTTAATCGTTAACGACTTGATTGTAATTACCATCTTTTTTAACAGCCAAGACTTGCTGTTTTATGGTGCATTGGACAAATGCTCGGTTTGCAACGGGAGTTTAGAGTTTGATGGCAGACGTTATGTTTGCAGAGGTTTCTACAGTGAGTGGGCTAGTTGCATTTTCAGCACCAGAAACCCTCCAAGGAAACAGGAACCCATTAAGTTACCTGATTCTGTTCAGAACTCTCTGGCTTCAGATGTGATATTCTCCCTATATTTTATTTTGTTTTTCCTTCGTTTTCTATGGCATTGCTGTAGCTTGTTACCTAAGATTTTGTCATTCTTTTCTTTTTGTTGGCTTCTTTTCCTGTGTTTGCCATAGTTGCTAAAGAAATATCAGGATCCGAGTCACAGACCACACAGGGACCTAGGCTTAGCTGAAAAACCCTTTACTGGAATGATGATATCTCTGATGGGTCGTCTTACTCGGACACACGTATGCACACCACTGTCACTGTTGTTGCTGTTGTATTATTAACTAAATACCCTTTGTCTATAAACACCTACTGAACTTTATTGATTGGGTTTTGTTTTGGGCTACTTAGCATTATTGGAAAACAACTATTGAAAAGCATGGAGGGAAGGTGGCAAACTCTATAATTGGTAATATGATAGTTATACTAGTGTGATGAAGAGTGGCTTTTGTCATCTTTTTGTTGCCAGGAATTACCATAACCTGGCTTGTTAAATTTTACAGGGGCAACTTGTTTGGTGGCGTCACCTGCTGAGAGAGAACGTGGCGGCACATCCAAACTTGCAGAGGCCATGTGAGTGCAGTAAAAGTTTTTAGGCAACGTTATTGCTTTGTGTTAATCCATATGAATGTGATAGGGTAGCTATCTGTGTTTTGTTTGGTTCCACATTGTGATAAGTGATTATCTGTAGATCTTTAGGTGTTCCTGAGCATGAACACTTAGTCTTAGATTTTCATTAAAAAAGTGATCACACAAATAAATTGCATATTAGGCTTATTAAATGGGATATGTGCCACATTAATGCTAATATAATAAGCATTCCTGGTTAACTACTGAGGTATCTTACTGTAGGGAGAGGGGTATTCCAGTGGTTAGGGAAGCTTGGCTGATTGACAGCATTGAAAAGCAAGAACCACAGCCTTTGGAAGCTTATGACCTTGTCTCTGATCTTTCTGTTGACGGCAAGGGAATCCCCTGGGACAAACAAGATCCTGGGGAGGAGGCTATTGAATCGCTCTCAGCAGAAGTATATGATTTACAATTTCATACTTTTATTTTTATTTAAAAAATAATTACACGTGGAGCCTCTTGTATTTTATTAAATTTGGTCTATGTGGTGTGGCAACAGCTCAAGCTTTATGGGAAGAGGGGGGTTTATAAAGATACCAAGTTGCAGGAACAAGGTGGAAAGATATTCGAAAGAGATGGGATATTATACAATTGTGCCTTCTCTGTTTGTGATCAAGGGAGACGACTGAATGAGTAATATTATGAAGCCCAATTGCACTTTTGTCCATATTCACATTTATGAGACAACTATACCTAATTACAGTGTTAATTTGGGGCAGCTACTGTGTCATGCAACTGATTGTTGTCCCAGAGAACCGTTTGAATCTCTACTTTAAGAAAGGGAGAGTTGGCGATGATCCAAATGCAGAGGAGCGATTAGAAGAGTGGGACAACGTGGACAGTGCTCTGAAAGAGTTTGCGAGACTCTTTGAGGAAATTACTGGAAATGAGTTCGAACCTTGGGAAAGAGAGAAGAAGTTCCAGAAGAAGCCATTGAAGTTTTACCCCATTGACATGGTGCATTATCTATCTATAACTCTCATAAATGATTTGTCCACACCTCTTACAATGACACAGTACTGTGAAATTATATAGGATGATGGAGTTGAAGTTAGACACGGAGCACTAGGTCTTCGGCAGCTGGGAATAGCAGTAACGCACAGTAAACTTGAGCCTTTGGTTGCAAACTTTATGAAGGTCTTGTGCAGCCAGGAGATATATAAGTAAGTACAACATCTGGTCACTATCATGCATGATTTTACTATTAAGTTTCTAAATAACCTGCACTGGATTCAGGTATGCATTGATGGAGATGGGCTACGACTCTCCGGACCTTCCAATAGGAATGGTTACAAATCTTCATCTGAAAAGATGTATGTACACAGGCAACACTTTTTTCCTATTTCTCTCATGTCCTTCAGAAACACTGACAATAAAACCTTGCCAGGTGAGGACGTTCTCTTAGAATTCATAGACAAGGTGAAAGCATTGAAAGAGACTGGGCCCAAGGCTGAGGCTGTTTGGACTGATTTTAGCCAAAGATGGTTCACTCTGATGCACTCCACAAGACCTTTCAATTTTAGAGATTATCAAGAGATTGCAGATCATGTAAGTGCAATTAGTCACCACCTTTATTGGTTCAATTCAACCACTTTGTTAAAATGAGTCTTGTCCTTATTCTCCCAGGCTGCTGCTGCCTTGGAGGGGGCGAGAGACATAACCCTCGCTTCTCACCTCATAGGTGATATGAGTGGCGCAACCATTGATGACCCATTATCAGAGACATACAAGAAATTGGGTTGCTCAGTTTCTCCCTTGGACAAAAGTTCAAATGATTACGAGATGATTGTGAAATACCTTGAAAAAACTTATGAGCCAGTCAAAGTTGGTGACATTGTAAGATTATAACTTTTTGCTTTGTGTTTTATGTAACCATTTGCATATTTTCTTGAGTGTTTACTTCCATGAACTTCAGGATTATGGGGTGTCAGTGGAAAACATTTTTGCGGTCCAAACAGGTGGTTGCCCTTCCTATGAAGACATAGTGAAACTGCCAAATAAAGTTCTTCTATGGTGTGGTAAGACACGCTACCATATTGTTCAAATTGAAAGGGAAGAAAAAAAAGAAAAAAAAAAAAAAACTCTGATTAGATTGGTTCTTCTCAATGACTGCAAAAATTCTATGATGCAAGGATCACGAAGCTCAAATCTTTTGAGGCACTTGCACAAGGGGTTCTTGCCAGCAATATGCTCACTACCGGTTCCCGGTTATATGGTATTAGAAATGGAAATAGTTATTTAATTTTAATGTTTGTGAGCATTTACTCATCGCTTGTTATGTGCTTTTGGTAACAGTTTGGCAAAGCTATTGTCTGTTCCGACGCTGCAGCAGAGGCTGCAAGATATGGTTTTACTGCTGTGGACAGGCCAGAAGGGTTCTTGGTTTTGGCCATTGCTTCTCTAGGAAATGAGATTACTGAGTTGAAAAGCCCACCTGAGGTATCCAAATTGCACTTATAGTCACCTTTTCGGCTTTCAGTGAGAACTATTATTTACTTGTTTTCAAAATTATTGACACAGGATACATCGTCTTTGGAGGAAAAGAAGATTGGGGTGAAGGGACTGGGGAAGAAGAAAACAGATGAATCAGAGCATTTTGTTTGGAAAGATGATATTAAAGTTCCCTGCGGCAGACTAGTTGCTTCAGACCATCAAGATAGTCCCCTGGAATACAACGAGTATGCTGTCTACGAACCTAAGCAGGTATCACCCATTTTTCTCGAGTATAAGCCAGAATATCAATAGAGAAAATGTTTTTTGTTATTCTTGGATCCGTGCACTTTTTGCTTACAGGTACGTATAAGCTACATGGTCGAAGTGAAGTATGAAGAGACGGGTGCTGTGATCGACACAACTGAGTGATTGAGCAAAAAGAATGACGGGGGAGTGGAATGCACGAGTTGAAAGATATGATCATCTTGTCTGAAGTTGTACTAGTGGTTTCTCTAGTTAGTATTATCATTTTGATGTATATTACATGTGACTAAATAGGCTTGTATGTGGTATCACATTTTGGTGTATGTATAGGTCAACGGACAGTAACTTAGGGAAAGTATTTTGTCCTGCTCTCCACGGCAAGAGAGTGGAACTACATCTAACACTGTCGTAATGATTTAGTTGACTGCTCTCCAGTCTGTATGAATGAGATGATGAGTAGAAGAAATGGTATAACGATGTCCTTTGTATAACTTGGCTGTTATCATCGATGACAATTATGATTAAGGGTCTAATCCTCAAGTTATAAGGAGTCATAAAAATAAAATGGAATTCCTTCAAGTTAGTACCTCTAAATAGCATTTGGCCAAATAGTAAGCGTGCGTGTATGGATCATATCAAGGAGGAATACGCCCCAAGTGGCAAGACTTCCTGCATATTTAAATGGAAGAAACGAGTTATTAGTTGCAAAATAAGAGCAATGCATAACTAACCAAAAATAATAAGGGCAACACACCAGACCTCAAGCCTTAAAAATGTGCAAATTAAAGAATAGTTTTGGTTTCATTCGCCAGCATTTGCAAAGTTGTTAGACAGTCGCAATTCATCCAGTAAAGTGCTTCTTATTCCCTTCGTGTGCAAAGGACGCGGCAATACTTTTATTTTTAGTCAAGGATAAAAGCGGGCAGAAGATTATGTTTATTACTTGAGATACCCGGCATCTTCTACCGAATCATTTGGTTTGATTTATAGGCCATGATGTTATATAGATGCCCTAAGCAGATCATTTGGTTCCAAATTGAAGGCATGCACAACAGAATAAGGTTAGCAAGTCATCATAGCCGGTGTAACAAAATTACCCCAATTAAAGTGAATCCAAGGAAAGAAAGAGTCTTGAACAAAAATCACATATGGACATGCTTAATCATTGACAAGTCAAAGCTGTATTGATCTAACCAAAATTTACACTTGGTGTTGCCTTGAGGCTTCGTGTAGGACAGTACAACACAAAAACGAATCTTGAATCAATATTCCACTTTCCACTATCTGTGCATTTCACAAGGATTACAATAACAGAACAATTCATAGACACCCTCCACCACCACTTGCCGCCGTAGTTTGCATCCATCAATGGTACATGACAACAGGAGGAACCTTAAACCTGTCCTCGAGAAAGGGTATGGGCCTGTGACCATCCACGAGGTCCCTGTAGAACGCATACTCAGCCTCATAATCATGCAAATGAAGCTCAGTCTTCTGATTAGTGTGGTAATGATGCTTAGCAGAAGTCGATTTCCCAAACCCATAAATGCTAACCCTATCACAGATCCCCAAAGCAAGCATCACAGCCTGCATCCCAGAGGAATAATGAAAAAGAGCCCCATCATGAGCCTCCCCCCACTTCTCCAAACCCTTCCCACTCTCCTCCACAAACCTCTTCAACGAATAGTACTTCACAATCCTCGCACACAACACATCAAACCTAGGATCCGTAACCAACAAAGGAGCCTTGTGAGAAGCATTGCACACAGTGTAATCCAAGAAATGCACGGCTTGGCAAATGTACATAACAATCGGAACATTATCACCATAAGGGTGGCAAAAACACCCTGACCTTCTAGCACACAAATGCAAAATGTTACTATTCACAAACGAAATACTAGTTTTCTTCCCAACCTTGGCCTCAAAGTGATCAACCCTAGCATTGTTCAATCTTATAACAACCTCATGTGCGTCAATTGCACTACCATAGTCTCTATTAAGCAAAATTCCGCTGTTTCCAACCACGGCACAAGAGGAGTATTTATTGCTACTCGTTACTACTTTGTTGTGAGAATCAATTGGAACCTTAACTGACCGAGTCAACTCGGACATGATCCCGGGTTGGAATCGTCGCTTCCGGAACCAGTCATGGAGAACCTTCCGAAAGTCGAGCCAGTACCGGTAGAACAGCGGCGACCGGAGCGTCGCCGGTAGGTTGGCGTTGGCGGCGGAGACGCCGCGCTCGTGGTGGATGAAGCGGCGCCAGGAGACGAACGTGCGTTGGCGCGCCTGGCCGCCGAAGTTTCCGTCGAGGAGGCTCTGGACCTCGTGCTTGAACTTCTCCTCGCCGATTTCGACGGCGGCGTGGCGGAGGAGCGTGGCGTTGAGCGGCGGCGGAGGCTGTCGGCGGATCCGGGCGCGCGACTCGAGCTCGATGGAGAGGATGCCGCGGCGCACGATGGCGCGTGAGGTGAGCGTGGCGGCGAAGACGAGAATGAGGAGGAGCAAGAATAGGGGCCGAACGGTGCGTTTCATCGGGAGAGGGCCCTTGGCGGAGAAATTAGGTTTGGCGGTTGCTAAATGTGGAAAGGAAAACGGATCCATTATTGGTTTGAGGCTTTCCGTTTCAGATCCATCTTTCTCTTCTGTTACCTTTGGCATGATTGGTTTGAGGCTATGGTTAATTGCATAGGGAACGTGGGAGTTAGGTCAAAAAGTGATTTGTTTTGTTTTGTTTCCACTTTTCAGCATCATCATTAGGGTCAAGTGGTGAAATAGCTGAGAAGGGTGTAGAGGAGAAGGACGAAGAATTTGGTGTAGTTGTAGGCACTGAACATTGTGGGAGTGGGAGTGTGAGTGCATGTGTGTGTATGTAACTATGTATGTATGTAAGAGAGTGAATGAAGCAAGAGCAAGAGAAAGAGAACCCTAATGGGAATCTAGGGGAAGAATAAAATATTAAAATGTGTGAGTGAGTGAGTGTGTGTGGTGTGGGAAAGAGAAAGCATTGGAAGAGGGGCATGTTATTGTTGTTGTTGTTTCTGGTTCATGACTATTTACTAGTGGATGGAACATTGTGGGTTGTGTAGGGTAAAGGTGGGGGTAAGGGCACTATATGATGGTGTGGTTTGCAAGGGAGTGATGATTGTGGGTCCATTTAGACTTGCATAATATATTCATTTGGTGGTCATATAGATCTACCATTCTTCATGTTCAATGCATAGATAGAATAGAATGGGTAGAAAGATGAATGTGAATGTTTATATAATTCGATTTAGGAGTATGGTTACGGGATTTAGAATTTTGCAGAACTTGCTAAAAACGGGTATCATTTTTCTTGATTAATTGTGCATGGTGTCATGTTCAATAAAAAAAAATAGTATTAAATGCCTAACTGCGCGCGCGCATATTGTTAGATTTTTGGCCCCGTGAGATTAATTAATGAAGAAAGAAAGAGGTTAACTTTGGGGCTACGCTTAGAAGACAACGAAAGCAAGGTTAGTTGGATTTTATGGTAAGAAGTTTTAAGGCGACTTTATGAAGATCATGTTTCTATCACTCTCCTTTTCTGTTTTTTTTTTTTTTTTCAGAGTTGGATAGTTAAATAAATTTCTTGACTAAAACTTTTAGGTGAAGAAAGGAAATAAAATGTATTATATATATATATATAAAAGGTATAATCAATTTATACATTTTGTAAGTTTTTTTGTGTGTATAAAATAGAGGTGTAAAACTTGATTTTAATTTTTTAGAAAATTAATTAAATTTTTTTTGTTTATAAATGTTGGTTTATAACACTTTTGTTTGAACTATTTAATAGTTTTTATATAAATAAATTTAATTAAACAAATTTTAAATTTTAAATTAATTAATAAAAGATTTGAAATCTTCTTTTAAAATCAAAATTAATTATTTTTTTCAAAAAGACTAAACAAATTCAAGTTTAAGAAATAAAAGATTAAAACGAATATTTTAAAAGATAAAAAATTAAAATAAATTAAAAAAATGAGATAAAGGGTTAAAAGGACAATTTAACCTTTTTGTTTTGTTGCAATATGAGATTCTAATTTAGATATCTTTATTTAAAAAAAAAAAAAATTAAGATATGAGGTGAGGAAGAGAAAAAAAAGGGGGGGGGGGGGGAAATAGTGATATAAAACAAACTTTATATATATAGTCATAAAAAAATAGAATAAATTATATTGACACTAACGAAATTTTACAAAATTGCACTAACACTTTCTATTTTTTTTAAGATTTACAAAAACCTTTCTTATAAGGATTACAATATAATATTTTTAAAAATAATTAAAGAGGTTAAAGTAATGTATAATTAAAGTAAGTTAATGTAGGGATAGAAAAAAAGTATGGAGTATTTATACAAATTTACTAAATTTAAGGTAATATTGGTTTAATTTATTCATATATATATATATATATATATATATGTGTGTGTGTGTGTGTTTTCTTATCGGGGATCCGATGTAGAGATGATCCGCTGGGTAAGGTCGGTGAGCCTCCTTCACTGGTACGTTTGATGCTCCAAGATGAGGGTGATACCTGCAAAAGAGACTCCGATGCTAAAATTAGTGTTTGTGGGTGTATGAGTCTCGTATAAGTAATACACGTACCTTTGTGTGTATTAGGATTTTGTTGGGCCTTGGGCCCGAGATCAGTTTATGACCTAATTGGATAGCGAGCCGA